TTCATGGGATACTAACTAAAATAGCACAAACTGGGGAGTGATCTATAAAGTAAATACGAGTTACATAATCAAGGGTGGAAGTGAGCTAGCTGACTGATAAAAGTCAATGGAGTGGGAGACAAAGAGTGCACATTTCGGTGCGTTAACATACAATTACAAATGTTTTGTAATAGTCACATTAAAACACATATTTGTCAGATTATTGAACAACCCAAAAAGTTTCAAAACTCTGTGTAGTTTCTAAATGCATAAATGTTCAGCATACACAATTGTGTTGTAAATGCCACTTTTTATCATATTTTGTGAAAAGAAAAGGTTTTGTTATTATTACAATTAACTAACTGGTCATTACACATTAATAATATGTTATTAGTACGATATAAAAATATATAATTGTATCTATTGAACAAAAGTAATTTTCATTAACAGAAAACTGATTAATGATTGTTACATGGGGAGTGTCAAAATGTAAGTTTTAACAGAATCCTATGCAAATTGAGAGCGGTATCAAACACAATCCATTGCAGCTTTTGCCAGCATGGAGATGGCTCATCAAACTCTTGTTCACTGGGGGCCTAGGGAGTCACAGTGACTTTCGCTTGGGTCCTAGGGAGTTACTATGATAATGACTGGGGTTCTAGGTAGCCACAGTGATCTTAACTGGGGTCATAGGATGTCTGTACTCAAATTATCCAGTAATGAAATTTACATGTACATTTGTAACTGTTATTGTGACAGATTGAGGATGTGAATGATGTACCGACTGGAGTGACATCGTCATCTCATATTGTTAGTTCGGCAACTCCACAAGGGCAGAACTTTGCTGTTTTAACCTGCATGGATGAAGACATAAACAATGTACACACATTTACATTAATTGATGACTCTGGTGGGAGATTCACCATCTTTCAAAACCATCTTCAGGTGAGAATGCTGCCTTCTATCAGTTTACTAGATCAATCTTTTGTTATAAGCGGTTGTCATGATTACGTTATCTTACTAAAAATAGACCTGATGGCTGAAATAAATCAAATGTAAATGACAATGCTACTTCAGCTTAGCTTATCAGTGATTTGTTTTACATTCAAAGAAAGTTTACTGCCTGAAAAATGCCACAAAGATTATACATACATCTGATATTAATTTTTGCTTGGAGATGATGGATCACAAAAAACGATGAAGGGGAAACATTCCTCAATTTTGGGGGATGGGGTAAAAGTTTATTTCTTAGTGTATGTGTCAAAATTGCACTAAGAAACTGCACAAAATGAACATGAATAGAAATGAATATGAGTGAATGTAAAACATTGTATATGCAATACAAAAACCAGGTAACAAACAAAGTGGAATATGTAAAAATAAGAACTGAACTACCGGTAGTTTAGGGGTTTGTACTTTTCAAAGTTCGGCATTAAGAAACTTTTATTTATTAGGGGGGTGGGGAAGGGATCAGCATCATATGATTGACTTACATTTCCCATTATAGACAACATTTGTGAATTTTGCTATTGATCCAGCATTACAATAAAGTGCGCCCTCTGTAGTTATCATACTTTCATTACACAGGTTGCCCAACCATTGGATGTATCAGTCACTCACACACGAACAATAATCGTCAAGTGTTCGGATGGGATGGCGGAGTCTCTCCCTATTCAAATTGACATACAAGTGACAGCATCTATAGGGAATGCAGATATTGATATCAGTCTTAATGCACATACAGTGGATGAAAATAAACCTGCAAACACATTTGTGGGTGAGTTAATTCTGGCCTTTCAATCATTACTCTCTACTTCACTTGCTATATGGCGATAGACATATTATCGCAAATCAGCGAAATGCTGTAACAGTGAAACTTTCACTTGGGGTATATACACTCACTATGCCAGTTTTCGAACAGTCAAAGTTTTTAGACAATGACATTCAGCCTATGAAAGCCTGTCAAACCATCAAATCAAAGAAATTTGAATTATGATAACCATAATCAACTGATTATCAGCCCCTTCCAAAATATGTTTTTATGATTTTCCACAATCTCAAACTGGACAATCTGTTCAAGAAGACTTCAACGGTCCAATTATTTTTCCTGCAAATGCAATTCAATTGGTTTTTTTTTTCAAATCAACTGTAAATCATTTGAAAACATTGACTATGAGTGAATATCAAAAATATTCACATTGTTAGTGCTTGAAAATTTGTGTTTGAGTGTACAGATTGAGTCACAGTGACTTTCTGGAAATTGGGTTCTTTATAATAATACTTAAATCACCAAATCTCAACAAAAATTATAGTATTCCCCAAAAAGTGTTTCAAGAGTGTTCGGTCTTTTCTAAAAACATGCACTGTATCTGTTCATTAGAAGTGCAACGCCAATAAAAAAAAACATTAATAAAAAATTCATTGTATACAAGATGAGAGTTTTGATCATAGATGCAAACATATGTGCTACTAATAGAGTAATTATTGTATTACATATGTGCTACTAATAGAGTAATTATTGTATTACATATGTGCTACTAATAGAGTAATTATAGTATTACATATGTGCTACTAATAGAGTAATTATAGTATTACATATGTGCTACTAATAGAGTAATTATTGTATTACATATGTGCTACTAATAGAGTAATTATTGTATTACATATGTGCTACTAATAGAGTAATTATTGTATTACATATGTGCTACTAATAGAGTAATTATTGTATTACATTCAAACCTCAGAATACTCCCAGTTAGCTGATTAAGCTATCATTGTGAAAAGTTAATACTATTGTTCTATATAATTGAAATAATATGAAATATTTGAAAAATTATTGCGAACAATCATTCTTGGTTGCAAGCCAATAATTTATATCATGTCAGTTTCATTTATATAATTTTATTTGTTAAAACTGTCATATGAAGTAACAGTTGAAAGTAAACTAAGGACAACCTTGAACAAGGCAAACACATTTCACAGTGGGAGATACATTGTGTATTTGCTGGAAGTTTCTGCTAATCTACAATTACAGAATGTAATTTCAGCTAATTAATGTAATTAACTAATGTTTTCTTAACCTCTGATATATTGATTTCTCTTAGGATTATTCACAGCCAGAAGCAATGCATACCCGAGTGATAGCTTCACCTTTGACCTTTTAGACAGTGATAATGGCGCTTTTGTCCTGCAACTAGTCGGTAGCTCATCAGCTAATTTATTGACCAATCGACTGCTGAATTATGAAGACGAGGCATCACACAGTATAACAGTGCAGGCAAATGGACAACATGGAATGGCTGTCAAAACTTTTATGGTCACTGTAAGTTTGGATTGAGCACTATTTGTTTGTGAGTGTGTATATATCATCTGTGAGGCCTGTATTAAAACTATCCACTCTGGGCATTTATTGTGTCCTCACTCGCACAAGAAAGACTTTTTTCCTGCTAAGGTTCGGCAAATGAATGCTAGCTTTTGGGTAACTCTGTCCGTTTGTCTCGGTCAGGTGTACTCTAACTCGTTTGATTCTTATGATTGTTATCAATATTTTTGTTTTGTCTAGGTCACTGATGTAAACGAACCACCAACTTATCTTTCTCTGCATAATACTGTTGTACAAGAAAACATCAACAACGCACTGGTTGGCATAGTTACGGCACAAGACCCAGAAGGAGATGCTATAGATTTTGAAATTACGCAAGATCCAACTGGTTCATTCCAGGTGAGAGACTGTATTCTGTAAGACTTTGATGCAATGGATAATGAACCTCTGTCTTGAATATAAATGACAAATTATATAAATATATATCATGTACTATATTTTGGAGAGTGAAGGGGGTATCTCATCTTCCTGTATACAACCACACAAAATGGGTTATTTACCAACTTTTCAATATGTGTACGCATGTAACACATTTGAGGTCAAACATTTTTTTTTTATATCAGGTGTTCAAAAACCAATGCAAAGAATATGTTACAAACAAATTTGCCAAATATGTTTGTACTTTTTTTTCAAGAGAATGGCATACTCTTACTATTCATGTATATGTATATCATATCATATATATTGAACAAATATATATGACATGCAAGAGCAAAGAATTTCTTGAAAAAATACCAATAAATATATCACCAAAACATGATAATTCTATAAAATATATGCGGGTTGCTATTATTGTAGATGTATGTGTTCATTGTCAATGGTGCGACCGTAACACAAGAGCTTAGGTTCCACAGGGTCTTGTAAAATTTTGTTACACAGGACTATACAAATTTCAGAGTCCTTATGATTTATTTTTAGAACATTTTATAATTTCTTGATGTATTTTCTGTTCACAGCTGCTGACCACAGGTACACCTAACACCAAGAGATTGGTGACCACCCGTGCTCTGGACTACGAATCAGAACTCAGCCTTACTGTAGCAATCAGAGCAAAAGAAATTCTAGATGACACCAAGACATCGGAATCTGTTGTGTTTGCAGTGAATGTTATTGACGTAAACGAAGCACCAAATATGATCCGTTTGGATCGAAACACTATCTCCGAAACTGCGACTAGCGGAGATATCGTTGGACCTTTGATGATCACTGACCCAGATAGTGCACATTATTTACAACATTTTACATGTATTTTGAGAGACGATGCTAATGGTATATTTGGAATGAATGGCTTGAATTTAGTGGTAAGTTACTTTGCCTGTATCATATTTGTCACTATCATCATTCCTGTGTTAACCTTTTTTATGATTGCAAAAAGTTATTTTTTATTATTATAATCATTATAAAAATCTTTGAAAAAAAGTCAAAAATGTCACATTTTCTTGTTATACTGTAGTATAAATGAGTAATTTTATGCTTTGTGTTTACAATAATTTTAATTTTCATTCAGTCATTTCTTTGCCTTGAATTGACACTCTTTAGGGTGTGTGTAAATTATAATATCAGTATTAGTATTCACTGTAATTCAGTCTTAAATGGCAGTGGTCGTTGCGCAGCACGTATCAAAATTCATGTAAACAAATAACATATTTTACACACATTTTATACGTCACTATGAGTCCCATATCGAACACGGCACGGTTTGACGACCACTCGCCTTTAACCATTTGAAATTAGAAATGCTATAACACATACACCACTCTGTTTGTTGTCACGATAAGCTATATAATAAATATTACCAATGGGATGAGCTGTACAAATTAATGTTCATGTTTTTCTTGGAAGGTCGCTGACCATGCTGTGTTGGATTATGAAGGTGTTGCTAATCACGAGTTAACAGTGGATGTTGAATGTCAAGATCAAAGAAAACTCTCTCATAAGGAGACCTTAACTGTCATTGTCACTGATGTCAATGAGAGGCCGACAGACATCAAGTCCGCATCTGGATTATTTAAAGTCAAAGAAAACCAAAATGTTGGTATGTTGACAGTCACAACTATGCTGGTGTGATTTACACATGCTGTAGTCAACCTGTAATTTTAAATAATTCTGAATCGTTCATTCTCATTTAAATAATTTTTGTACAATACTTTATTTTAGCCAGAATTAATTTTTGATGAAAAGACTTTTTGGTCTGTTCGGCCAGACTTTTTTTTATTCCTTGTTTCTCGAATTTTTATAAGTCAATTTTTTTGAGAAGGTCAGAAAAATTTTTTTTTTTCCCCCCCATTAGATTTGTGTGATTCTCAAAGAATTGTAAGTGAAATCATTGATTGGAGAGAAGAAATGAAATAAAATTTTATTCCATGTATAACCTGGTTAGCAATGTTGCCAATTGTAGCACAATTTTCAGCATTAATGAGGGATTTCTCGGTTTTTGACGACGAGTTTCACGGCGTGTCACCGCAAACCATGCCATTGCCATGTTCGTCTAGTAGTCTCAAGCAGAATGCAGAGAGGTCAATACCCGAGATTCACAACGCGCATAAAGTACATGTATAGATCTGCACGAGACTTCATTACTTTGATCATGATGCTCCTATGAAAATACAACTTGGATTTCTTAGGCGGCGGGCCGAATAAAATGAAGATAAATTTTTTTTTGCACTCACAAGTCGGCGGGCACGAGAAATTACGCTGAAATGAGTTAAATGTAAAATATATTTTCACTGATTTTTGATGAGTTAAATGTAAAATATATTTTGACTGATTCATCCCTACAGCAAAATAGAATTAGTATATGTGGTTTAATAGGCCTTATGTTGACTTGTAAGAATATTAAATGTCAAAACTTGTGATATAATTCCTCATGAATATTCTGCAAATATTGTACTACAATGACAACTTTCTGCATTTGTATTGAAAATAATGTCATTAATAGTGAATATGTAACCCTAGAAATTATCAGGACCTGTGACTTTTATGAGGTCATGTATGAGGCTGATTGTTGCCATGGCAATATCACTTCAGTCTGCACATAATGATGTAAAATCTTACTAAAAATATTATCGTTATGACAACGAAGATAGCAGTACATAGATACATGGACAGAAGCCCATAGACAATTGAGTTACTTGACATGTAATCACAACCTTAATCTTTGTTTCAGGTGAGGTTGTTGCATACCTAATTACAGAAGACCCTGACAACACCCATCAAGACTCATTTACATACACTGTGAGTCCCATGGATTCTATGGCTATTATGAGTGATCAACTGATAACACACCGGCAGTTGAACTTTGAGGAGAAATCAACGCATGAAGTGACATTGACAGTAACCGATGAAGGTGGTCTCACTCTCACTAAGGTAAGAACCATAAAGATGATTATTACTATATAAAAAAAAAACATTCCTAGTTCGGTTGAATAGAGTAATAAAGTTATTATTTCAAAATTGTTGGCAAACTAAAGGTTTACATATCATGTTTTCATATCGTCATTTAGTTCTGTCAGTATTAGGTGGCTGCTTGTGTTGACTATACATACATGTATAAACTTTTAAGTGTTTGAACTGATCATTTGATTTCAAGAAAAATGTAAAAATACAATGAATTTCTTGGTTCAATTTGTATTACACGCTGTGTGCATTTCCTCTGATAGCCAAAGGAGACTCTTATATCAAGAATTCAATATCAATTACCTGGATGTTTAAAGTTGATACAAATACAAAATAATCTATTTATGAATGTCTCTTTGTTTTTTGATTCAAGTAGCATATGAGCAACTGGCAATCATTTTTGTTAAAAAAAATCACACACAAAATACAATATTTAGTCTATTCAGATGGCCATTTTTTTGTCAAGTGTCGTTTTCCATTTTTCTGACACTTTTTTCCAATTGCATTTTAATTTGGTACAAATACAAGAAGTAACATAGTGCATGTCATTCTGTTTTGGTGAAAATTTCTTGACAGATTTTCACGTTTTTTGTTATGATCAAATGTCAGTTCAGCCAAATACAGAATAGAAACTTAATTGTTTTTCTGATTTTTTATCACAATAAGTGTTCTTTGAGCGTCTGTAAAGTAAATTTTTGCTATCTTTCACAAAATATTTTTTTTAGATCAAAAAATTTTATCAAAAGCTGTAGCCAATGAGAAGTTAAATCCATTGGGTCCAAAATTATCAAATGTTCCACCAAAATCTTGATGGCAAATGGCATATAAGGAGTAAAACAGAATAAATGTTATGAAAATGTTTCTAAATCTGGGAGGAGTAGAATTTTGTGGATTTCTCTGATATCTAGCGGAATAAATTTTGTTATTATTTCACTGTAGGTTGTAACAGTAGAAGTAGTGGATACCAATGATCCACCTACAGCCATTGTAATACCAACAGGCACAGCTGTCTATGAAAATTCACCGACTGACACCCTGGTAGCAGAACTGGCAACAATTGATGAAGATATTGGACAGAGTTATACATACACATTGGAATCTCACCAGCCGAGGGGATCGCTGAAACTTGTGGATGGAAATAAGTTAATGATTGATGATGGTAGTATTGTTAATTACGAAACTGTACAGTTTTTGGAGGCTACCATAATAACAACTGATAATGGGACTCCGTCGCCGTTAAATTTTGTAGAGACATTACAGATACCGATTCTGGATGTTAATGAGCCACCACGTTCAATGACGTTGGCGTCTAACAAGGTCGTTGAGAATCCAGTGGATAGGGCTTTGGTTGGTGAAATTTACGTTGATGATCCAGATAGTTTTCAGCAATCGTTTATGTGTGGGTTGACATCGGATGAAGGCAATCGCTTTGAATTGGAACATAATGGTTCAACCATTCGACTTTTAGTCGGTAATGGACTCCTGTTTGATTATGAAGCGGCAACGTATCACGATATCATTATTGACTGTCATGATACGGACCATCAATCACCAGTTAGCGGGTCTTTTCGTATACTCATTTTAAATGCTAATGACAAACCATCTGGGGTTTTCGTAATTGACGCTGATCCAGACGATACCACGATAGACCCTAACCGGCCTGAAGAGGATGAGGATATTTTTGGAAATGTTGTGACCGCTTCCATAGCCACGGTGAAAGAAGACGCTTCTCCCGGTCTTGGCATTGTTGCGTATGTTTTCGTAACTGATGAAGATAATCTGAATGATGATTCGCAAAGACAAACTCATTCCTGTGAATTAATTTCAGAATGGGAATATAATAACTCTACAGCTGAAGGTAAGAATTATTTTTGAGATTTGTTGGATTCAAGTTGAGTGTCTTACAAGATTGTTCCTGATTGGCTACACAACCCTAACACCTAACCATCCAGCCAATCAGAAAGCAGCTTTTTGTTCTTTCAACAAATCAAATCCTTTGACTTAACTGCAGGAATGTGTTGACTGAGAAACACATTGAAATCTTAAGCTTTCATGATTGATCATTTTAAGCTACACCAGCCGCACTTCTTTTGATATAGCAATACATGGTGATCAGGTGATATTTATCACCATTACTAAAGTATGTATTCTGACACATCAAATAAAATAGTCCTAGCACAACCCCACATTGTATTTCTGCTATTGTGTTCAACAGATAGAAACCAGTGAATTTTATGTCAATACCTCTTAAAAATAACTACTTCTTCATGTTGAAAAATTTCATTAAACTAAAACCGGTCTCTCTAAATAACTGCTTTTCATAAACGCATTGTAATATTTACCTAAACAGACCAACTGAGTGAACGAAGACGAAGAAGACGTCAGATCAGTAACACTGAACAGCCACCATCAATGGGCAGTGATGAGATCCCAACCCAGTTTATGATCCAGTCTGGCACCAATAGCATCGTGGTCAGGGAAGTGCTGGACTATGAAGAAAACAATGAGTATTTGATTTATTTGAGATGCCGTGATAATGGCAATCCATCAATGGTAAGATATAACACTTCAAAATTCATTGATTTGTTTGTAATTGAAGTTACTCATTTAATGTGCACAGATTTACTCCAAAATCAGAACAAAACATATTGTGAACAGATTCTTATCCAAATAGTTATGAATACATTTTAGGATATGAGTGAAAGGAACACACATATACAGACAGACAACAAAATTACTTCATTTTGGATTTGGCACATAGAAGACTGAAAACAAATAAGAAAGAATCATAGATCATGCAATCTTTACGGGAATTGCTGTGTATGGAATTTTGGTTTTGAAATATTAAATGATTCATAAGAAAATCTCCTGTACGATGCAACAGCTAGAAGAATGCAAATAAATCTAACAAACAGTTTTGTAGAGGTTTAAGCTTTAAGGTAATAATGAATAAACATTCATATCTTGATTAAAACCAACATTTCCACAATAGCAAGATAGTCTTCAGAGTAAAAGCTGACAGGTAAAAATGAAGATAAAAGTTAAACTAAAATACAATACGGAAAACATTATCTAACAATCTAAGTGGTGACCTTGCCTTCCAGTTAATATATTTCTCTGAAATATGTATATGTTTTTGTTTTCAGTCTGTTGTAAGTTCAGTGAAGATTATAGTACTTGATGTCGATGAAGCACCCTTGGATATTGGATTATCGACTCTGACAATGTTGGAAAACAGTCCTGAAGACACACTCGTAGGTGAGTACTCAGATCATCAGTATTTTATAATTTGTGTGATAGGAAGTTTGAGTTATACAACGCTGTCTGGATATGTACATAAATGTAAGGGTGTATTCACTATAATTTGATTGTTTTATTTCCTAGCTCATATCGGTTTGGTGGATCCTGATGGTACCATGACAGCTCATGCCTATGAAATCATATCACTTGGCGTGCCATATTACATCAAAGACAAGGAATTAAGAGTTTCCCGGACGCCAATTGACCATGAAATCACTCCAGTGTGGACAGTTCAGATCAGAGTCCAGGAAGTCAACACAGATTTAGAAATTGTGAAAAATTTTGATATTACCATTGATAATGTAAATGAACCACCGGACTCGCTAATCATTAATGGTGACACCTCTGTTGTTGTTATGGAAACGGCAGATGTAAACTCAGAGGTTGGAACATTAGAATCCCACGATCCCGATGAGCTGGATACTGAGTTCGGTTTTGCATTCTACGGTGACCACCCTTCTCATGATTATTTTAATATTATTGATGATAAATTATTAATAAAGCAGCAACTTGATGCCTGGGAAATGGACATGCACGAATTAACGATTGAAGTCACAGACAGTGGTGGATTGTCATATATTGGAAAAATCACTCTCCGATTAACTGCTGTCAACAGATGTAATGAAAGTGATTATTGCAGTGTGTATGCACAGTGTATCCATAGTGTATGTACTTGCATGCCTGGATTCATGGGTAAGTTTGTACATTTTGCCTTTTTAATTAATTTCAAAATGGAAATATATTTCATCCAGTAGCTTTGCAGCCAAGTTATTGTGAAGCTCATTTTGCAACAGTTTCAGGTCCAAGTTTCTGAAATTACTCTTGCATTTCAAGATTCCAGCCTGAATTTTTTAATAGATAAATGGCATAAAACCGTGACAAATATATATATTCCAGAGTAATTTCATGTGTTAAAACAACTTTAGAAGCCAATATGTTTTGTGATTAGTCTCACAGTTTGCTAGAGAACCACTTTTGTCATGGAGAAATCAAATATGAAAACTGGTTGCTGTCGTCCTGAAAATAAATATACAATATACAAAATTAAATAGTTCAATGTATCACAGTATTTACATTTTTGTCCAAAAAATACAATTTTTAACATTTCATGATTAATGGATCGTAATTAGCATATTACGATTTTGATGGACATTGTAGCAACCACAAACAACTAAGTTTTATTTTATGAAAAGTGACAACAGTAGACGTTGGTACTGAAAAGATTTAACGTGAAGATTTTATTGTAGTACTGTTTATTAAAAGTGGGACAACCATCTATGTTTCATAACTGTTTTATAAGCAAGATGTTTTATTGTATTGAGCTCCGAGACCGTGTTAGGATTTATATAACTAATATCATTTCATAATCTACAGGTAATGGTTTCACATGTACTGACATCGATAATTGCGATCCAAATCCTTGTCATCCAGACAACACTATTGGTGACTGCCAAGATGGTTTTGGAGGTCTTAGGAATTTCACTTGTAATTGCAAAATGGGATGGTTAGGTCCAGACTGTTACAGAGAAGTCAACGACTGTTTTAATAACTCTTGTAACTCACTGGGTAAGTCCTTTTTGTCTTGAATTTTTGAGAAGAATGTTTTGAGCATTGAAAATAGTAACTAGTGCTAATGTTTTTGTTCAAGGATTATTTTTATCACCTTTATAGCCAATTCACACACTTATTTCATTGTCTTCAAGAAATAGTGCGACTAGTGAATATTTAGAAAGTTTAAAAGCATAAATATTATACTGAACAAAAAGTTCCGTCCAATAAATGAAAAACTGTGAATAAAAAGCTGGGGTACAAAAGCTTGTTTCCATGGAAGCATTGACAGTTGTCTTGAATTGGCTGCCATTTTGAATTGAAAAATGGTCAAAATAATTTTAAGTTAGTTATTCAAAACATTTTTTTCTTTCAAAATATATCTCATCTCAGTGAATAATTTGGCAAAAATCAGGAGATCCCAGTGTCAAAAATGTTTTAGTTGCAATCATTGTACAATGTATGTCAGTGACTGCTGGATGTACAGTACAACATTTAGTTTTTAGTCACTAGTTCAAATAATGTGTTATGGCCGTCCCAGATTCTAACAATTCTGTTCTGTATATGATTTATATATGAAATATCTTTCAGTGTATCAGCAATATTAATCCCATATCAAATCCTTCTTTATTTCAAGAAGGAGTGGACAATTTGTACACAACTGTAATGTGTTTTATCTGTGTTGCCATAGGAACCTCAAAGTGTGTGGATAAACTAAATGACTATGTATGCGAATGTAAATCCGGATACACTGGTCAATATTGTGAAGTCAATATTGATGACTGTCTGACTAATGAGTGTTTAAATGGTGGTCAATGTATTGATGGTATTAATGGGTATATATGTGATTGCAAAGAACCTTATCAAGGTAACTACACTTATCTTGTAATAAGATAATTTTTCATATTTCCTCCATACTAGTTGTGTTCATCAATAGCTCCTTAGCACAAGCTAAAAGATCAAACACATTTGCATGTGCTAAGAAAACATGCATGAACGCTTAGTACAGGCTAAAGTAAGGGTTGAATTTGATCTGCTTTAAAACCTGGTCTAGACCCTTAGCACAGGCTAATGAAGTGGCCAAAACGGCATTGTATTTGTATTCATTAGGAAGATTTACTATAATTATGTTCATAACTATTCATTTCGGTATGACATTTCTGCCATGACAATCAATGCGAGCACATCAAAGGACATTCCTGTTATTCTGCAATATACACTTTTGTTTTTGCATTGTTTTTTAACCGTAGAACTAACATGTTTAACTTGCTGGTTACTTTACTGAGTAATCATGGCTAAAAGACTGGCAATTTGTATATTTTTAAACAAGCTCCTTAGCTCCTCAGTATTTGACAAAGCGAATGTGCTGCTAATAGTGCAAATACGGTATTTCAGTAATCTGCCAATGTGTTTTATGGTTAGAGTTGTAGTATTTGCTAAACTAAGTAATAGTTGTAGCCTTGAACATAGGTAGTGTACTAGCTAATTAATCCATAAACCAAGATTTGTGATCCAGAGGTACATGTTTGAGTGATGCCGATTGTATATCAATAAATAACATAACTCCAGAATGCAACAAACAGTGCTATGAAGAACATTTTATGTCAAATTTGTATTTGAATTGATGGTCGGAAAGTTCAAGGACGATTTGCTGGAAACTCGATCATAACTGATTCTATGAAATTGCTTGGTAATGTTCAGATATTTGCAAAAGAATTCTGACTCAAATATCTTGCAAATACCGGTACTGTACTTATTGTATTTGAGATATAGTACTTACAAATTCATATGTCAGAGGTTACAAACAAAGGCTATATTTCAAAAAGAAAATGTCAGTTTTGTCAATTGAACGAAATAGAAACTGAAGAGCACTTCTTTCTTAAATGCAGCCTTTATAAAAAAAGAAAGAAATTTGCTGCTACCGCCCAAACTTTCCGACAAAGAAAAAATTGTTGCAATACTAAACAATGGTAGTATAAAAATTGCTAAGTACATCCATGATTGTTTTAAAATTCGAGAGAACAACTTGAAAAGAGTACTTCCAGCTGTCTCAAAATAAATAAAAACATTTACTTTAATTTATTATACTTTATTAATAACTTTGTCTTACACTCTTTCAATCTCATTTTATTTTTTTCATTGCTATACCTTTATTGTATTTTATAATCAAAGTCCCATAGAGGATACAATAACAATAAAGATTATTATTATTACAATAATACCACTTTAAGGTCACATTTAATGCCTCCCTATCTTGACTTGATAATGCACGTACCGGTATATTCTGTATGAGATTTAGATAGTGAATATGTCTTACACTGTCAACGTAAACAATGTATACATATGCTTCTATTAGAACTAATAACATAATTACATTTATGACTTAGGTATTAACTGTGACACAGATGCCAGTATATGTTATGATGTCAGTTGTCCACACAATGGTACATGCATACCATACTCACATGGCAAGAACTATGCATGCAGATGTCTGGAACCCTTCTCACCTGATTGTGAGGGTTGCATGTATGGCTATGGAGGAGACAACTGTCAGCCCTGTAAGCAGCCACTCACTGGTAGACTCACCTATATTAGAGATAAGTGATCATTTCAAAGTTTATT